GTCTAAGATATCTGTCTGATATCGTTCGGGTATGATCACACGTATACCTCGGAGTAAACATCCTTCCTCGATGGTTAACTCCTCTCTTATCCGATGATACGGTTGTAGATCATCCTTGGAATTGACATTTGGCCATCCACTTCTGGTAAATTCTGTCACACGAGACAGAATTGGATCGGCTTTGGTCGCCGCTGCGATACGCGAAGCGGTAACGGGTAAGTTGTTAACCTGCATTTTGTTAACTAACTCAGCTTCCTCATAGAAAACATAGTCGTCACGGTTGCAACTTACTACGATGGCCGATAGCAGACGACACAAAACAACTACAATATAAGACATTTATGTACATGTACACTTTTTAAAAACTGTACATGTACACAATACAACTACAAGTGCTATCAACATTCCTTAACGGTTCGGATCAACTTGATATTTCACACGTGTCTGATACGGCGGCTAATATACGACAAGGAAATTACTAGATTCCCCAGAAGTCAAACAGTACTAGATGGTCACAAGTCAGAGGTATACCAAATATCATATAATTTGTATGTGATTTTTGGAGTAATGGTTGGAGACAAAACAAAAACATGTAGTTACTTAATTTGTATATAGAATTATAATGTTAACCCAATAACCCCAAATACGTAATTTAAAGTGTTCCATGTGACATATTCACAAGTTTAAAGGCTATTGCCTTTGGTATAAAACACTAGTTATTTCTCTCAGAACAATCTACATACAACTTTTGTTACAGTAAGTATTATATTATATTTGACTTTAGCACTCAACTATTCACACTGAACAAGGCAACGTTCTACTTTATGACTCCAATCCATACATTAGGTAAAGCCCACATAGATATGCGTATAACGATGGCTTATGTCTGTTACATTTCTTTCAAATTAAAAATAGGACATAAGACCTATCAACATACAAAGAAAAGATTAAGAAAATTAAACACTTGATAATTACTAATGTCAAACTTTTCTAGTATATCCATTTTCAGGTGATGAGATTAAGTCGCCTTCAAGCATCAACTAGTGAAATATTGTGTACAGTCTACGTAGCAACACTGTGTGGTGACCTCTATCGCCTCTTCGCTGATTTATGAACATATTCCCTTTCTTTTTCGTTTGGTCTTTAAATTCACCGCCGCATCAGGCACGTGTGAAATATCAAGTTGACCCGAACCGTTAAGGAATGTTAATAGCACTTGTAGTTGTATTGTGTACATGTACAGTTTTTAAAAAGTGTACATGTACACAAATGTCTTATATTGTAGTTGTATTGTGTACATGTACAGTTTTTAAAAAGTGTACATGTACACAAATGTCTTATATTGTAGTTGTATTGTGTACATGTACAGTTTTTAAAAAGTGTACATGTACACAAATGTCTTATATTGTAGTTGTATTGTGTACATGTACAGTTTTTAAAAAGTGTACATGTACACAAATGTCTTATATTGTAGTTGTATTGTGTACATGTACAGTTTTTAAAAAGTGTACATGTACACAAATGTCTTATATTGTAGTTGTTTTGTGTCGGCTGCTATCGGCCATCGCAACTTACATCCTCTTTCAATGGAAAGCGCGATAACGCGTCAGCATTTCCGTTTTTGTCGGTCGTTCGAAACTTAATGTCAAACTGGTACGCGGACAGCTTGATTGCCCATCGTTGTTACCGTGATGCTGCCAAAATCGGAATGCCTTTCTTTGGCCCCAAGATCGTTGTCAGAGGCTTGTGATATGTAAATAGCGTAAAACGCCGTCCATAGAGGTACTGGTGAAACTTTTGAATTCCAAAAATAATAGCCAACGCTTCTTTCTCTATCTGAGAATAATTCTTTTCGGCCGACGACAAGGTACGGGACGCGTACGCGATCGGATTGTCGCTCGACTCGATGGTGTGTGAAATTACCGCTCCGAGCCCGTAGGCTGAGGCGTCTACAGCCAGCATTAACGGTTTCTGTGGATCATAGTGGACCATGACCTCAGACGATACTAAGAGTTTTTTGATAGTGTCACAAGCACTAAACCTATTTTTCTAGGCTGTATATATAGACCCCCTAACTCTCTCGTTGGCTACTGGGACAGGCTAGATATTAACCTAAATAATATTATTGATCTGCAAAGGCAAGTAGTCCTGGTAGGTGATATAAATCAAGACATGTTAAATCTAAATCCAAACTCACATCTACATAGAATTTTGTTGAAATATGGGTTAGAAAACACTGTTACTGAACCTACCAGGATTACTTCCCAGACCTCAACATCACTTGACACTATACTAACAAACAACTTTAACTTTATTAAAAATACAATAGTACATCCTCTCTCTTGTAGTGATCACTGTCCAGTTAGCGCTGATCTGATTTTATTTTTTTTAAAGAAACATGCATATAAAAAGACTTTATTATACTTCAATAACACTGACTTTGACGGGGCAAATGAGTATCTTAAGTCCATTGACTGGAATCTTTTATTACAAGGTGATATTGAAAATATGAACTCTCTTTTAACTGATAAAGTCCTAACTGCTATCGACCTTTTCGTGCCCCATAAAACAGTAACTATAAGACCTAATGATAAAATTTGGATGACTAATGGTATAAGAATCAAAATTAGACAAAGAAATCGCCAGCATTCCAAAGCTAATCTACATAATACTCCATCTTCTTGGGCAAAATTTAGATCTATTCGGAATGAAGTTATATCCTTAGTCCGGGAAGCTAAAGAAAAATATTTATCTAAACTTCAATCTTCTTTAATTGATAAAACCATACCCCCCGGAAAATGGTGGCGTATTGCATAATCGGTTATGAATCTCAAAAACAAAAACGAAAAGGACTCTCCATTGATTATCAACGGCGAACTGAAAATCCACCCCATAGATAAGGCGGAATCTTTTAACGATTATTTCACTTCGATTTCCGTAACTGAAAAGAATGCTGACGATTTACCTCCTGACTGCCCCCGACCCCGACATAACTTTCAACAATAGACATTACCGAACAGGACATTCTTGATCAGCTCGATCTACTCAATACTAATAAACCTTCAGGCCCTGATAGTATCCTACCAAAATTCATAAAAGGGGTTTCCTAATCTCTTGTGAAACCACTCTATCTCTTATTCAACAAATCAAATTCTACCGGAAAGCTACCAAATAGATGGAAAAATGCTCATGTTACCCCAATTTATAAGGGCAAGGGAGATAAAAGGGATCCATCCAACTATAGACCAACATATGCTACCCCTATATTTAGCAAGCTATTTGAAAAAAAATGTTTTTAAGTATATGTTCAATTACCTCTCAAGATATAACATTATTTCTAAAAACCAGTCAGGCTTTTTACCTAAGGATTCCACAGTGTATCAGCTATTAATTATATACGATGAAATTGTAAAACATTTAGACAAAGGCAAAGAGGCAAGTTCTGTGATATTAGCAAAGCCTTTGACAGAGTTTGGCATGACGGTCTAATTTATAAACTAAAAAAATATGGTATATGTAATAATATGGTCTCATTGAGGGAGACATGCAAGAATGTGCTAATATATTAAATGATGATCTGAGGAAAATTTCAATCTGGGCTAGAAAATGGAGAATTATCTTTAATCCAGGTAAACTGTAGCCCTGCTCTTCTCGAGGCGGGTCGACTTTGAGACACTGCATCCTAACCTATATTTTGATGAATCATCAATTATTAATGTTTCTAATCATAAACACCTAGGTTTGTTTTTCAACAGCAAGGCTAATTGGTCTAACCACATCAACTATACATACGAAAAAGCTTATAAAATAATTAATATACTTAGAATGTTGAAATACAAAATTGATAGAAAATCACTCGAATCTATATATATCACATTTATACGTCCAATTCTGGAATATGCAAATGTTATATGGGCAAACTGCACGCAGAATGAATGCAGTGTCTTGGAGTCTATCCAACTAGAAGCAGCACGTATTATTTCAGAGTTAAGACGTGGAACAAGTCATGCTATCTTATATAGAGAATCTGGTTTTATAACACTTAATAGAAGAAGACATTTGCATCAAAATATTACTTTTTATAAAATATATAATAGGAAATGTCCCTCTCATGTCTGTGATAAAATTCAATCGTACATTAATGATAATACTGACAATTATCACCTTCGCCACAATAGAATTTTTGATGTTCCTATACCAAGAACTCAGTTATATAATGCCAGTTTTTTCCCGAAACTGATGTCTGAATGGAATAATCCAACTTGCCTGTATCCCACAATGACATCCATTGGATCTATAAAAAGAGATTTTTTACACTCAGATGAAATGGATTCTCATCCCTAATGTACTGATATTTTTAAATACAATGGTGATCGAAAATTTAATATTCCCTTATGTCAACTTAGAAACTGTGCCAGTAACCTGAATTCAGCTCTATTTGAATCTCACCTAATTGATACCCCTGCCTGCTTATGTAGTTCTCCTGTTGAGGATTGTGATCACTTCTTCTTCCATTGTACTCTGTACACTAATCAAAGGCAAATTCTCCTGAACTCCATTTCTGCTTTTAATGACATAATTCCATTAAATACTCAGACTTTTCTTTATGGATATCAAAGACTCGATATCAATATGAACATAAGTATCTTGGAGATGGTTAAGAGATTCGTTAAATATACAAGACGCTTTAACTAGATTACACTTACTTGTTTATCTCATGACTTTGCTGTATGGAATGATACCAGTACATAATTGTACTATGTGCTGTCCACCAGCATAATTTCAATTGCCATTTTTTGTAAAATCTAGTTTTTGTATAACCATTACCAAAACAAATTATTAATGACATGCAAATATCAATATTCATGTACATAATATACATGTTTTATCATTACTTCAATTCAATATGATGTGTGTAAACTGTTTATAACTGTAAGGAGATGGCGCTCATAGGATTTGCCTGTTGCCCAATTCCTTTGTATCTAAGATCTGAACAATAACTATTCTGAAATGAAAGCACTAGCACACGCCGGGGTCCACTGCCATTCTACATCGTTTGCTAACAAATGAGTCAGAGGCTCTGCGACTGTAGCCAAGTTCGGGATGAACTTGCGGTAATAATTGACAATACCGAGCCACGATTGAAGCTCACGCTTGGTTTGGGGATCAACCAATTTCAAAATGGCTTCCACCTTCCAAGGTGAAGGATGGATACCGTCCTTGTTGACCTTAAACACGAAATATTCTACTTCGTCGCGCATGAAGAAACACTTGGTTTTCTTTAGTCGGATACCGAAATCCTCTAGTCGCTGAAGCGTTGTGTCGAGATTGTGACGGTGTTCGGCGTCAGATTTTCCCGTGATGAGAATATCATCTAATATGCATCCGACACCTTCAATTCCTTGCAGGACATGGTCCATTGTGCGTTGAAATATGGCGGGAGCAGCCGCTACGCCAAGCGGAAGACGCGTGTACCGATACAAGCCGCGGTGCGTGTTGATGGTAACTAACTTCCGTGACTCCTCATCCAACAACACTTGTTGATACGCGTTGGTCAGATCCAGCTTTGAGAACTGATCACCACCTTTCAACTTTGCGAATAACTCCTCGCTGGTCGGTAACGGGTATTCTGGAACATCAAAGAAGGAATTAATAGTGACTTTATAGTCTCCACATATCCTTACCGAACCATCATGTTTTAACACTGGTACAATGGGAGTGCCCCAATCAGAACTCTCCACCTTTTCGAAAATTCCAGCCTTTTCCAGTCGGTCAAGTTCTTCGCCGATGTTGTCTTTGAGAGCGAAAGGCACGGAGCTTGGTTTGAAGAACTTCGGGATAGCATCCTCCTTTAATCGGAGGCTAGCAGTTAGTCCCTTCACAGTACCCAAATCTTCATTGAACACTTTGTACTTCTGGAAGAGTTTCTTCTGTGAATGTCCATTGATGGTGTAGTTGATAGGTTGCCAGTTAAGTTTTAACTTACTCAACCAGTTTCTACCAAGCAATGCTGGTCCATCAGCCTTGACCACGAGTAACGGCAATGACACCTGTTGGTCTCCATACTGTACCATCACAGACATCCCCCCGACAACTGGTAAAAGTTGACCTGTGTATGTCCTCAGAACTGTTGTCGTGTCGTTCAGTTTCACAGAACCATGATACTTCTGACGATACTCCTTTTCCGATATCAAAGAAACCGAAGCCCCGGTGTCCAGCTCCATTTTCTGTGGTTTGCGGTCAATTAACAAATCAATGTTTATTTCCTTCTGACCGTCAGATTTTATCGAAAACAGAGGCCAAGAGTACTTACAATCAGTTTCATAGGCACCAGAACTATCCACGTCGGAATCCTCCACGAAGTTGATTTTCGGATTTCTTTTCTTAAACTTATGTCCTTTTCCTCGGCCAGTACTTTGAGTACTTTCAGTACTTTGATGTGGTCGCGGTTTGTTTACATGTTGACGTGATTTGTTTGCCGGACACATTTTGCTCAGATGACCGGTTTCGTGACATTTGTGGCACTTGCTGTTCTTATAATAACAACTGTCGCCACTATGATTGTTCTTTCCACAACGAAAGCATTGTGTTAACACTTTGTGTGTCTGTTCCGCGTTCTTACTCCCCTCGAACATTGCAGAGGTTTCTTTTAGTTTGCGCGATTCACAGTCTGCCATCTCCATACTAACGATTATGTCCATTGCTTTTTTCAATGTCAATTCAGCTTCCGATAGCAATTTCCTTTGGGTTGCCGAGGAAGCCAACCCACACACAAATCTATCCCGCAAGGCATCGTTCAAAAACGTTTCAAAATTACAATGTTCACTGAGTTTACGGAGTTCGACTAGAAATTGACTCACCGTTTCTCCTTCCTTTTATTTGCGTTATCACCAGGGGTTTGGGTTGTAGATGATTTCGAATGTTATTTTTCAGCTCATCGTACGTTTTTTCTCCGGGTTTTGCCGGACTCACAACGTTACGAATTAACCCATACGTTTTACTGCCACATACGGTCAGTAATATTGAACGTTTTACATCGTTATCATCCACCGCATTAGCCACGAAATAGTGTTCCAAACGTTCAATGTACTCGTCCCAATTTTGCGAGTTTACATCAAATTCTTCGATGCTTCCGTGTCTTACAGCCATACCTTACAGTTTTATGTTACAGGTGTTGTTTCGATGTAAGTTTACGTCAATCCTCGTCGCCACTGTTGTGTTTGTGAAGGTCCTTTATCGTAAAATACAACTTACAACAACACACGACTGCTAGGTTATTTAATGGCGGTTCACAACATATAAATACAGAGCATGCGCAAGGCATAAATCGGAACCATGCGGTCCTACACTAATTACAGGATAATAATCCGGATACATGTTTACCTTGGACATGAAAATAACAGTGTTAATGAGTTTAGCATACTTCGGACGGGACGCATTGAACAAGAGGTCCAGAGGTCCTGTATCTCTCACCTGGATACCAAAGCAATCATGGCAAAATATCCTCCGAATGAGATCAAGGGAATATGCCACACCCCAAGGCCAATCCTTGCAGCATATCTGTACATGTATTAGATTCTTCATACCCAGCAATTTTATGTATGGTTATGGGGTGGGGATCTCAACTGGTTCCAAGCTTTGACTCAGAAACTAGGTCCCTAGGGTTGTGGCCAGACCCCAGAATCAATTCTAATATCGTGACTGCATTTGTCTCTTTTTGCCCAGCATTTGTATATATAGTTTTGGGGTGGGGATCTCAACCATTTCAAAGCTATGACCCAGGGGTTAAGTCTGCAAGGGTGGGGCAGACCCTGGGGTCAATTCTAATATCATGACTGCATTTGTCTTTTTATACCCAACAATTGTAAATATAGTTTTGGGATGGGGATCTAAACCATTTCGAAGTTATGACCCAGGGGTTAAGTCTCCATGGGTGGGGCAGTCCCCAAGGTCAACCTGGAAGCATATGTGCAATCATCACTTTATACTCAGCAATTGTATATACCGTTATAGGGTGGGGCTGTCAACTGTTTCCAGGCTGTGACTAACAAACTAAGTCCCTCGGGGTTCGGTCAGACCCCAGGGTCTATTCTGATACCATGACTGCATTCGTCTTTTTATGCCCATCATTTATATATATAGTTTTGGGGTGGGGATCTCAACAGTTTTAAAGTTATGGCCCAGGGACTATGTCTCCTAGGGTGGGGCCAGACCCTATAGCCATCCTGGAAGCAAATGTGCATTCTTCTCTTTATACTCAGCAATTATATACCATGGTTACATGGTGGGGATCTTAACCATTTCCATGTAATACACTTTTTTGGCCCCACCCCTTAGCCCGGGGGCTCAGCCCCACCATTTGAACAATTTTGAATCCCCACCACCTAGGGATGCTTCCGACCAAATATGGTTGATATCATGGCATAGTTCTACAGTAGAAGTCGTTTATAGCAATATAACCAAATTGCTCCCTTTTTGGCCCGCACCTCAGCCCCCTGGGGGGTCAGCCCAACCATTTGTATGAATCCCCACCACCTAGAGATGCTTCCAATCAAATATGGTAGATATCCACCTCTTAGTTCCAGAGAAGAAGTCGCTTATAGCAATATTGCAAAATTGACCCCTTTTTGCCTCGCCTCTCAGCCCCCTGGGGGGTCAGCTCCATCATTTGTACAATTTTGAATCCCTGACACCTAGGGATGCTTCCAATTTAATATGGTTGACAACGACTTCTTATTTCCAGAGAAGAAGTCGCTTAAAGCAATATAGCCAAATTGACTCCTTTATGCCCCGCCCCTCAGCCCCCTGGGGGATCAGTCCAACCATTTGTATGAATCCCCATCATCTAGAGAAGCTTCCCGTCAAATATGGTTGATATCCACCTCTTAGTTCCAGAGAAAAAGTCGCTTATAGCAATATTGCAAAATTGACACATTTTTGCCCCGCCTCTCAGCCCCCTAGGAGTCAGCTCCATCATTTGTACAATTTTGAATCCCTGACAACTAGGGATGCTTCCAATTCAATATGGTTGACATCGACTTCTTATTTTCAGAGAAGAAGTCGCTTAAAGCAATATAGCCAAATTGACTCCTTTTGGCCCCGCCCCTCAGCCCCCTGGGGGGTCAGCCCAACCATTTGTACAATTTTGAATCCCCACAACCTAGGGATGCTTCCAGTCAAATATGGTTGATATCCATGTCATAGTTCTACAAAAGAAGTCGTTCGTAGCAATATAGCCAAATTGCCCCCTTTTTGTCTCACCCCTCAGCCCCCTGGGGGGTCAGCCCCATCATTTGTACAAATTTGAAACCCAACCACCTAGGGATGCTTCCAGTCGAATATGGTTGATATCCACTTCTTAGTTCCAGAGAAGAAGTCGCTTAAAGCAATATAGCCAAATTGACCGCTTTTTGCCCCGCCTCTCAGCCCCCTAGGGGGTCAGCTCCATCATTTGAACAATTTTGAATCCCTGACACCTAGGGATGCTTCCAATTAAATATGGTTGACATCGACTTCTTATTTCAAGAGAAGAAGTCGCTTAAAGCAATATAGACAAACTGACTCCTTTTGGCCCCGCCTCTCAGCCCCCTGGGGGGTCAGCCCAACCCTTTGTACAATTTTGAATCCCCACCACCTAGGGATGCTTCTAGTCAAACATGGTTGATATCCATGGCATAGTTCTACAGAAGAAGTCGTTTTTAGCAATATAGTCAAATTGACCCCTTTTTGCCCCGCCCCTCAGCCCCCTGGGGGGTCAGCCCCATCATTTGTACAATTTTGAATCCAAACCACCTAGGGATGCTTCCAGTCAAATATGGTTGACATCGACTTCTTATTTCCAGAGAAGAAGTCGCTTAAAGCAATATAACCAAATTGCCCCCTTTTTGCCCCGTCTCTTAGCCCCCTAGGGGGGTCGCTTAAAGCAATTTAGCCCCGCCCCTCAGCCGCCGGGGGGTCAGCCCAACCCTTTGTACAATTTTGAATCCAAACCACCTAGGGATGCTTCCGGTCAAATATGGTTGATATCCATGTCATAGTTCTACAGAAGAAGTCGTTTGTAGCAATATAACCAAATTGCCCACTTTTTGCCCCGCCCCTCAGCCCCCTGGGGGGTCAGTCCCATCATTTGTACAATTTTGAATCACCACCACCTAGGGATGCTTCCAGTCAAATATGGTTGATATCCACTTCTTAGGTCCAGAGAAGAAGTCGCTTAAAGCAATATAGACAAATTTACCCCTTTTTGCCCCGTCTCTTAGCCCCCTAGGGAGGTCAGCTCCATCATTTGTACAATTTTGAATCCCTGACACCTAGGGATGCTTCCAATTAAATATGGTTGACATCGACTTCTTATTTCCAGAGAAGAAGTCGCTTAATGCAATATAGCCAAATTGACTCCTTTTGGCCCCGCCCTACAGCCCCCTGGGGGGTCAGCCCAACCATTTGTATAATTTTGAATCCCCACCACCGAGGGATGCTTCCAGTCAAATATGGTTGATATCCATCGCATAGTTCTACAGAAGAAGTTGTTTGTAGCAATATAGCCAAATTGCCCCTTTTTTGCCCCGCCCCTCAGCTCCCTGGGGGGTCAGCCCCATCATTTGTACAATTTTGAATCCCAACCACCTAGGAATGATTCCAGTCAAAAATGGTTGATATCCATTTCTTAGTTCCAGAGAAGAAGTCGCTTAAAGCAATATAGCCAAATTGACTCCTTTTGGCCCCGCCCCTGAGCCCCCTGGGGAATCAGCCCAACTGTTTGTATAATTTTGAATCCCCACCACCTAGGGATGCTTCCAGTCAAATATGGTTGATATCCATGCCATAGTTCTACAGAAGAAGTCGTTTAATGCAATATAGCCAAATTAACCCCTTTTTGCCCCGCCCCTCAGCCCCCTGGGGGTCAGCCCCATCATTTGTACAATTTGGAATCCCCACCACCTAGGAATGCTTCCAGTCAAATTTAGTTGAATTCCAATTAGTGGTTAAGAAGAAGAAGTCGTTTAAAGAAACTGTTGACGGATGGACGACGGACGCCACGGTATGGCATAAGCTCACCTTGGTCCTTAGGACCAGGTGAGCTAATAAATAATACGTAAGAATAAAATGATATAGATGCTTGAGGAGTATATCGTCCTATCTGATTCTCAATCCAAAAGAGGAAAATAATAAATTGCATAACAACTTGATGATTTACATTCTGTACATAATGTTGATAAAGAAACAAAGCAAATGTAGGTGTGTTACAATATCGATATAGTTCTGGTATTCAAAACTCGAACACTTTTATCTGTTGCCGGTTAATCACGACAACTGGTGACCTTGTCCAGACACAATGTAGTGCATTTAAAGTAGAAGAAGTCCACACTATTTCACGCTTCTTGTATGCATAGCTTACTTCAGTAAAATTGCCCACTAAACAGCTATGGTTTGTTACTAAGACAAACAGACACTTACTGTCTAAATTTCCTACTTGTAGTAATATAAGTTGATATATTATCAACACTATTCCGTCTTTGCGTGTTGCAGAGTTATCTTCTCTTGGGAGCAGGTATTTATTGTTACGTCATTGGTTTGTGTGAGAAAATTACGGCGATTTCTAAAAGATTGATGACGTTACTCTCACAAACAAGTGACGTAACAATCAATACCTGCTCCCAAGAGAAGATTACTCTGCAATACG